CATGGTAGGAGCGTAGGTGTTGATGTTGAACTGCCGCAACAGCTTAGTGTTGGGCGTCGCACCTTGATCCACGTAGCCAAAGCGAATGTAGTCTTTAAAGGCAAAAGCTGTCAACTGAAGGATGATACGGTCGAATAGAAAGAAATGATGATAGAATACATGAGTGGGCAAAACTCTGCTTCTTATAAAAATATTTTATGATTTTTTTTAGCTTCAGTCCAACACTTTGGCCAAATGTTTTGCACCACTAAATAAAAATTACCACACTGTTTTGGTCACATTTCCATTTTTCTTTAAACCATTTCTTTAGGTATCAGTAAGGAACTCATTAAACTTTTTAAGACCATTTACCATTATGATTTAAATTCAGGAATTACGTTTCATGAATGACAAACAATTAAAGTAATCTTAATAGCTTACTAAGTTCTGTTTAGCATGACAACTTAATGAAATGTACTGTAACTTTGTCAACTCAAGATAAACAGCACTACTTTCTCAAAAGTTAATGAAAATTGGGATTGCTGCAGCACACTTGATCCTGTAAAGACACCAAGAGTGCAGATTGTAATAAATCCATTAAATCATTTTTAACAGAGGTGCAAATAGCTAACATCAGGACAAAAGTTATTCACGCTGAATGTTATTTTACAGTGTAATTAAATCCAGATCCTCAGCAGGATGTATCACAGCTGCAGCATATAGAATAACTATACAGGACATAAGCAATACACAAATCAAGAAACAGATTTATTTAAGATATTTTAAGGTTAAACTTAATTCTGTACAATGTAAAAAAAATATGACGACAGAATTTAAACTGTCAACAACATCAAATATAATCTAAAGTATTTGTTCTTGATTTATGCAAGGTTTTTAATCATGTTGGAGATGCTGTTAAAAATGGTCAAACTGTGACGTTTCCATAGAGATAAACGTTGCCTAGGTGATGAGAAATTAATGTTATATGTGTAAGTTAATAATTCACTTTCACATGGCTAAAGTCGACCAAATGCCTTTACCTTATAAAGAAGAGGCACAACAGGAACTTGGTCAAATAGCAGCAGACTGGGTTTATTTTCCACATGCCACCGGTCAAGAAAAGTCTGATAGTTGTTGTCATTGATCTGTAAGAGAACATCATAGAAGTTAGCAAAAGAAAGACAAGTGTTGGAAACAACAGGCAAGAAAGGAGGTGTGTTTGACCCTCTGTCGGGTATTTACACCTCAGTTTGCTAAATACTAATTAAAGGACAAATCTGCCATATCTCTAGTGTGCTTATTTACATAAAAAAGGAATTGACTGCAGAAACAGCTCTCAGGCTCTAACTCCAGAGAAACCTTTGTAAAGGTGAAATGAAAATGCAGTTACCCTCTCCACCAGGTTGTGAGGCAGCAGATCCTCCACAAACTGTCGCAGGTGCTCTCTGACCACATGCTGGTGGAAGAAGGTCATCCTGCCGTTCACCAGCCCAATGATGGAAGGAGGCCGATAAGCTCCCAGCTGGTTGGCCAGACGACGCTCAGAACCCATGTCCACGATGCCGATACCCACGCCTGATTCAACGTTGACATAAACAGTGATACCATGACGTAAAAAAAATGAATAAACAAACATGGTCAATGGATAAAATTGTATAAATTTCACATATCTGAACGCGAACTGCTCATCGAAGTATGACGCCATGAACATTTTATAGTCAAATCCATGCAATACATTCAAAGAAGAAGCTTCAGGAATATGTTTATTTTATCAAGGCAAATCACAATCAACACTAGTCACGCTGCCAAGTTACTCACGCATGGAAACCTGTGAAAAAGTACTTGTCCCCTTTCATTTTTCCTTTATTTTAGATATTTAATTACACACAAACATGTAGGTTTTGTTACCTTATTAACAAAGCTTAATAAAGGAATATACTCAAGGTCGATGCAAAAATCAGTCGAGATATGCAATGATCCACTTATTTATTGGATAGATTTATTTGAACCCAAAACAACTTTGCAGGCTTTGATATGTTTAACATATGCTGCTCTCTAGCAACTAAAACAATTTTAAATAGAGTCTTAAAGGCACATTTAAATTACTCTGTTGGCAGAATGTGTAATCAGCGATCTACTACTAAATGTAAAGCAGGGGTGTCAAACTCATTTTCATTTTGGGACATATTAAAAATCTGACTGTTCTTGAAGGGTCTGTTGTGTGAGAATGTATTGATAAAACCAATTTAAAACAGTTGTGTCAGCATTCTATGAGTGTTTCTTAAAATTAAATAATGTTAAACATCTTTTCACACCAATCAGTTCATTCAGAATTTTTCAATCAAAATCACAGATCTTGTGCTAATTTAGAAATATTTGTAAGGAATTTTTATGATGTTTGCGCTAATGTATGATGCTAAATGTGACTTTTTCTTAATCATTGCATCGATCACAAAATATGACTTGACAGGAGGTAAGGCTGAGGTAGCAGTCACTTAAACTCAATGTTTTTGGCCAATTTTGAGAGAAATTTGCAGCAAAAATTCCAAAAATGTGGGAATCTATGGAGTTTGTGTGAATTTTGCAGGTTTGTGAAAAACTGGAGGGATTTATTGATGTATTTTGAAGCGTATAGGGCCACTTAAAAAGCTATGGCGGGCCAGATTTGGCGCCCAGGCCTTGAGTTTGACACATGTGGCGTAGTGTATTGATACGTTTTTAAAAATACTCAAAGCCGTACCCAAAGGTTCCAGCTCTAGCACCGTCTCCTTCCACACTGGTTCGATGTGGATGCAGGCAAAGCACCACTCAGAAGTCACTTTGATCAGGTACGGCCTCTTGTAGCTGTCTGGGAGAATGTCATTGTGAAACTGAGCATGGTGCAGCATATACTTGCTGTCTGCAAAGTCTCTGGACCTGGAACCAGACAGAAGTGTTTTTGTTAGGGTATGCCAACAAGAAGTTCTGCAAAATCAAGAATCTGTACATTCATCCACATAACAAGGATTTGCAGGAGTGGATGAATTTTGATCTTTACATATTTTCCCTCCCATCTTATCTTAGTAAAGTAAGAACCCTTTTTTTTTTGGGAATAATTTTTTTAGGTTGATAAGTTGATATATTTGATAAGTTGATATACTTTATTGGTTATTTTGGGGTAGATTCTGCTCTGTAGTTGGACCCATCTCCTTTGTATTGTTAGCAACAACGAAAACTACAATACCTGGAAAACTGGAAAAAAGACTCATCGAAGTAGAAGTTGTTCTGAAAGTGGCGGAACCCATGGTGCTGGGACTGTCCGAAAGGCTGGTTTTCATCCATCTGCCCATAGCGGTCAAAGTTGGACCGTCGCTCCTCATTTGACAAGATCTGTGAGTAAAAACAAAAGTGAAAGGAGGCTGCTTTCATACTCATGGTTTCATTAACGACATAGTGGAGCTGAAAAGAACATATGACAACAAGCAGTTGTGTAGCCTGTATAATATTTCTCCAACTTACCTCGTATGATTTGGAAATCTTAATAAACGTATCTTCAGCACTGGGGTCCTTGTTCTTGTCTGGGTGCCTAAAGAAAAAATAATCATCATAGGGTTCTACAGCATATATTTAGCCAAATGAAACACATTTAGTGGTAAATAATCAGCAATCATTGACACCGGTTTTTGTAGAACATGACAGACCCACAAAACAAACTAATGACCTCTCACACACTTGTGTCGCTCACCATTCTCTGGCCAGGTTTTTATATGCCCGCTTAATTTCCACCTGACTGGCGCTCCTGCTGACCCCCAGGACTTTATACGGGTCAAACTCATGAGTCGTTTGCGCCACATGTGAAGTGATAATTAGTAGAAAGATGGCGAGAGTGACTGGACGTGTCCGAGCCGGTCCAATCCAACCGGTGCTCCGATCCGTCATCATCTTATGCTTCTGCTACTACAGTCTGACGTTACGGCTAGTTAGCTATCACAGAACGGAGAATAAACCTTACATGTTCGGCTCAGTGAAGGTTTTGAACGCCACGTCGAATCACACGTAACATACGACTGCTTTACAACGACTAGGCCATCGTTTTTCTTACATATGATGGACATTAGCAAATCGATAGCACCATGACAGCCAAAGCGACCTCCGAAATGCGAAACTTCCGGTTTGACCTTTCAAAATAAATTTTTTCTGGTATCCTCGCCAACTGAAATAAATCACAGAATCGAATAAAACATGCATGCCAAGGACATGCAAGGCGCGGCGCGTTTTGACAGCAAGCAAAACGAGAATATCGGAGTGAAAGAAAAATGAAGGTGAACAATATTGAATTCTTGAAAATCCCTTAACATTGTCCATATTTTACAAACTCTACCTAATTTCACCAGTATTCTGTTTTCTCAGCATACTCGTAGCATGTTTTTTAGGTTGGATTAGTTTTATTATGATTACTATTTGATTAATCCATTTACCCATTGTTTATTCCCTAAATCAAGGGTCACCCTGAGGAAGTAACGAGTTCAGCCTGGGACTCAAAAATCACATATTTCAAGCAACAATTTAAAACAGTAAGAAAATTATTTTATTTTGTATGAATTTACATTATTTTATTTTGTATGAATTTACATGAATTTCCAGCATGAAAATCCAGATGTGGGCTTTAATTTTGGAATGTCTATACATAACATCTGGGTCTTAATGCGCATGTGTCAATCGTTCGTATTCTGTTTATTCCCTGGCTTCTCTTGTCTTCAGGTACATCATGAAAGAAAAAAAATAACACACGCGTGCATAAGTACAACGCAAAAATTCATACTTGTTTTCAACACTTAGTTATGTGGTCATTTTTTGGTAATAATAAAATGATTCGTACTTGTATATTTGTCATGGTTTTTGGCCACCAAGTAAATTCAAAAGTTTAATTTATTGAAATGTATTCTACCATGTATGCATTTAAAAATGCTCTTTCTGCGTTTTTAATTTCACTCGCGCACGGCGGGGGGCGCTTCACTTCCGCTTCCTCTTCCACCCAGAGCCACCCAGAACTGATTCAGATCAGGACTGAAGATGGTCACATCATTTCACAAAACGTCCCTCCTAACCTATTTATAGTAACCCTTGCGATTGAGCCTGATCCATCCCCGGGTCAGACCAACATGAACAGGCTGTGTGTGTGTCTGCTGTCCGCGTAGAGCGCTCACAAAGTGCGCGGATGGTTTGATCCGGGTGGGTAGCGCTAGCCGTGCACAGCTGCTTTCCGTGGCTCGACCTGCCTGCAGCATTCAAGGGACGGTGCTCCTTTAACCCAGCAAAGGTAAACAAGTAAGCCTCTGTATGATATGTGGCGACCCAGTTAATGTGCCCTGTTCAGCTGATGGGTAGGCTGTTTGCTAGCATCATGCTAATCTGCAGCGTTATTAAAGTCAAAAAGAACAGAGTCATCCTCAGGTGTGTTTAATATTATATGGGTTTTATTACAGTTTCCCCACACGGTCTGGACAAATGTGGAGCTGCGATTTTGGCGTTTTCAAGTTCATCCATCCATTCATGGCTCTACCAAATTAACTGATTCACATGTTCACTCATTTTTCCTTATATTTACTCATTTATCCAACAATTAATCGTCAATATTTTTATCCACTCATCCATGTTATTATCCGCCCATACATTTATCCATTTTTATTTAATCATTCATCTGTACGTTCATTTGTCTGTCATCCATTGTGTTGTATCATCCATTCATCTATTTACATATTTATTCACCCAGCCATTTGTGCATCTTCGCATCCAAATGGTTGTCCTTGTCTTCTGTCCATCTGTCCATACCTTTGCTGAGCTTTCCATCCCTTAATGATATAATTTCTCCATATGTTTATCCATCTTTGCGGCCAAACATTGATGTCCATTTATTCTTCCATCTGTCCAGCAGTCTGCTGCTTTTGCTGATTCCTTATCGAAAGGCTGACATTTATTGTACTATTCAATTTAAACTTGACAAATGAACAGAGAACAGGAAGAGAAAGTCAAGTCAATATAAGTAAGGAATTTGACATGAATTAATGCTTATTAATCCAAGCAAGTACAGCACCTTTGAGTATTAGTTTGAGTCTGTCATATGTGTGAACAAATAAATACTTCAAGTCATATATACCTGGATATTCATTAACCAGGTGCAGCCCTTTGCAAACATTCTTTCTTTCTTTGTCCAGATCTTTGTTCTTATTAGTAACATTAGCAATAATCTGTTTGCAAAATGTTATGAGAAATATTACATAGTCAAACAGGTTTATAGAATTAAGGATACACTGATAAATATTTTTTTTCCTCTTCCCACATTCAGCACCATGAATCTCTTCCGTCTGATATGTCGCCATAAGACAGCTCTGGTCATTGGTACTGTGTGCAGTTTTGCTGTTGTCCTGGTCTTCTTGGCCAAATGTACCTCAGAAACTCTGAAGCAGGGTCACCTGGATCCTCCGGGCTTTGCTCCCAACACCAAGTCTTTGCAGTTCCGTCCAGACCACCAGAATCCCATGTCATCTTCGAAAGACTTGTCAGCATTTCTCGTGGTCCTCATCACAACAGGACCCAAGTACACAGAACGCAGGAGCATTATCCGCAGCACCTGGCTTGCCAAACGTGACTCTGATGTTCTGGCCATGTTCGTGGTTGGAACTCAGGGCCTTTCCAGCGAAGACCTTCAGAATCTGAACACGGAGCAAGGACGGCACAAAGACTTGCTCTTACTGTCTGATCTTCGGGATTCTTATGAGAACCTGACACTAAAGCTGCTGCACATGTACTCCTGGCTGGACCAGAATGTGGACTTTAAGTTTGTCTTCAAAGCGGACGATGACACATTTGCTCGCTTGGACCTACTTAAAGAGGAGCTGAAGGGTAAGGAGCCAAGCAAGTTGTACTGGGGTTTCTTTTCAGGGAGAGGCCGTGTGAAATCAGCTGGGAAGTGGCGCGAAAGCTCTTGGGACCTCTGTGATTATTACCTACCCTATGCCCTGGGAGGGGGTTACATTCTCTCATCAGACATGGTACGCTACGTGCATCTTAACGCGGGCTACCTCAAGACATGGCAGAGCGAGGACGTGTCACTGGGCGCCTGGCTGGCACCGGTGGATGTTCGGCGGACGCACGACCCACGATTCGACACGGAGTACAAGTCGCGAGGTTGCAACAACAAATACCTGGTGACGCACAAGCAGAGTTTGGAGGACATGTTGGAGAAACACCAGACTCTGCAGCGAGACGGGAGGCTCTGCAAAGAGGAGGTCAAGCTGCGGTTGTCCTACATTTATGACTGGAGTGTTCCACCGTCGCAGTGCTGCCAAAGAAAAGATGGGATTCCATAGTTTCTGTCCTTTGCCTAATAATATATATTTTAATACAAAGTGAGGAATGTTCACGTTTACCATTGGATTGTGTGGATGCTTTTAGAATTGTGCAACTGGTACTAGATGCTGGAAGACAAATAATACTCCAGTTGAAAACTTCATCCTAACGTGTAAAAAAATCACATTCTTATATTTATGAAAACATAAATGGATCCAGTGTAGAACTGATAGCACCAATTGTTTCCTCATTTCCTCCTTCACATGCACTGTTACCTATAAACCGGCGCTATCTCACCAGTCCTTAGCTGGACAAGAGGAAAGAACCGCTTTAATCAAGAGCTGGAATAAAACAAGCTCACCGCCTGTAGGCTTTCTGTTCTTCATCTCATAGAAAGCCATATTTGGAATTAATTATGTGCTTTGCAGCATCATCTGGCATGTAATAAACCTCCTTAAACATGCCACCTGCATATTATTTAGTGTCGCTGCATACTTTTGAATAACATATGTCAACAGATGCTCAGTAGGAACCACTTGGTGTTCAAAAAGTGTAGTGCCGCCAGGTGTTAGTGAAACACCTGATGTTGCTTATCAAACTTCTATTGGTGTAGAATTAGTAACGCTGCTCTTAGATTTTTTTTTTTTATTCGAGTTTTGTGTATTCAGCTTATACAGTGGGTAGTAGTCACTAACTAACGGCCAGGTGGGGCTCTTAACATTATCTAGTGATCACCAACCTTAAAATTAATTATTAATGCCAAAACTGCTTTCTGTAAAAACACACTATGCAGCTGAGATGAGACAACATGCTGCATAGAACTGTGATAGAGCAGAGTTGTAAGAAAAACATTTAATTGCAGACGATATTATTGCAATTCTTCAATAATAACGCAATTTCACAGCACAGTGCCGAACTATTTTGTGGGTTTTCTAAGAAGCTCTATGGTGGAAAATTTTCTCTCTCATTTAAACTGGGTGGAGCTCGAAAGCCGATGCTAATATTCACTATAGTTTGGAAGTATTTAAACATTTTCAGATCCCTCAAGATGTTCAGTCAGAGCTTCGACAAATATGGTTTCTATGTGGTTTTTGCGGATGTGTGATTAGGAAAAAAACCTTTCAACCAAGCCGAAGATTGGTTTAAAACTGTCATTATAGTCTAGGCTTCCTTCTCAAGTCTGTTGATTTAGTCTTTGCATATGTTAATGTGTTGTGAAGACACTAATACATTAATTCCCTCTGATTTGTTTTTACAAACAGACGGGCTTTTAAACCCAGCTGTTATCTTTTCTGTGTAGTCTTGTACGTTTTCAACCTCAAGTTGGTCAACATAAGTATTTTCCCAATTTAACTTCTCACTTCCTGAATCAGAGGCCAATGTCAATCCTGTTCTTTTTTGGTAGTTTACTGCTTGGACCTCGCTGTGATCTCCAGTTTACAACCTCAGTAACTTAAATCCGTATGTGCGTCACCTGCTGAAACTTCTTTGTGGGCAATATTTAAAGTGTCATCGCACATGGAAACCTGGTCATTACTCCCCCATATGATTTATTTCCCTTTTTATATTCTGTGAAAGTAATTTTTTTTGTGATTTATTTATTTATTATTAACTTATTCTGTAGCCACGCAGCACTACAGTTTGGACTTCAGTGCAGTGGATGTTACGTTGGAACATGTTGGACTTAATGAACAGAAATAATGAATGAGAAATGTTCTTTTTTTTAAAAAAAACACACACAAAAAAAAAAACTTGTTTATGAACAATGCTACACAAGGTTTGTTATAAAGGTGCAAAAGAAAATGTTTGATTATATCTTATTGAAAAGGCCTTCCTCCTTATAGTAAAACTAATGTGAGAATGATATCACAAACACTAACAGTACGGGAGTTTTTTCCTTTTTTGTACCGTCAGGGTCTGTATTTATTGTGCTAATCGTGAATGTTTGTTAGCAGCACACCAGGCACTTTTTTCTTTTTTCTAATTACTTTTAAGTTCCTGTAATGTTTCTTTGTGGATTATTGTTGTTTCTGATGTGACTCTTCACCATAAACTCTCCTTTTTAATGTCTGTAACGTCTTAACACTTTGTGAAGTTTATGTAACAGATTTGAATAATGGGCTGTAACATCGTCTGGCTTCCTGTTGGTTTGATTTTCAGTTTGTAAAATTGTTTTACATGTTTCATCTTCAGAAAGTTCAGAAAAAAAAGATAAAAAAGATGAACTTTAAAGCTTATTTTTAATGGCTCAAGTTATGTTTTTGAAAATGTTGCATTTTCTTTGTCCTCTGCGTTTACTCGTCACTTCTTATGTTTCTCTGATTGCTATTACATGTCTAAATGTTTTTATTAAATGCATTCTTGTCATTTCAAATTTACTTTGGCAATTTTGTAAAGAGTTAAATCTTTTGTCAGGTGCACTGCTGTGGATGAAAATGTCTTTCCTCTAACAGATTTTATTTTGCCACGAGTAGAAGTTAGATGATGAGCGTCATTTGAATATTAGACCGGGTAAATATAAATACAATTTTTAAAAGATTTCATTTAATTAGCAGAAGAAAAATGATCAAAACTCACCGTCAGATTTGTAGAAAAACAGTTTAAAAGTGGCAGTGAGTCTTTTATGTCACTCTGGAGAACTATGTGCCAAGTCTTTTCCCACAATTCTTATAATTTAACATTTGAAGGTTTTCATGCATGAAAGGCGTATTTATGGTATTAACCACAACACAGCAATTGGATTTTGTTGCATCTTCTTTTTAGTCGGCAGTATTTTTCTGCTTGGCACTTCCACATGGATGCTGTTTATTTTGAATCATAAACACTGACCTTAACCAAGGCAGATGAAGCATATATGTTGTTTTGTGTTCTTTGTGGCTTCCTGGATGAGTCATCTTTGACCACTCCCCAACTTCTCCTGGGAAGGTTTGCCACTGTCCCATACATTCCCTGTTTGTTGCTTATAGAGATAACTCAGCAGTTCTGTCATTCTGCCCCTGTTGATGTTCTGTCACCCTCCTCTTCTGGCTCAGCAAAGTGTTGGTGCTTCATTTGCGCTGTTGCAATGAGACAGCAGTGATGGGAAGCCTGGCTTTTTTCAGAGAGCCGGCTCCTGTTGCTGCCAAACAGCTCCGAATTTATTGTAATCTGCAGCGTCAAATTTTTGATCTAGCTGGATGCTTTATATGTTAATAAATCTTGTAGCAGTTAGCGTTTTTATGCGAAGCCTAACACTTTCCTAAATTTTTACATTTGTTCCATTACGAAAACAAACATTCTTATTTTTGTGTAATAGTTTATCAAAATGTTTAAATGCCACATCAGTTCTCCCTCAAGGACATTTTACTCTGGCCAGCAGTGTGAATAAGTGTTAATCTAACATAATTATGTAAAAGAGTTATGCAGACTTGGAGGATTTCCTGCTTTCAGTCATCTCCTCACCATTAATATTCCTCAAGAAAACAAAATGTGTCATGGCTATATGGTTAAGCTGCCTTTGTAAAGTCAGCAAGTTTTATTCAACCTTCGGTTCACATGACAAGTTGTAATTCTTTATTATACTTCCTAGCATAACATTTAATTCATTCTACTTTATTTGTTTCCTTGTTTCAAACCCACCCAAAATTTGTTATCTTAATTTTCCCCATCAAATACAGAAAAATTCACCCGCAGAGTATTTGTGCTTCGGGTACCACAATGCCCAGCATCGGTCCTGCAGCTCAGCATATTTCCTGTTGTCAGACAGGTTCGGTCTGTTCATAATCAGGCCTGGCAGAGTAACGCAACTCAAACACAGCAGTTTCCTTTTATAAGCAAAAGAGCTGAATTGCCCCTTTGATTTAATAATAACACAACAGTCTACAGGAAACTTTTTCTATACTAGTGTAGATTCATATTAATTTGATCTCTGCTTTGGCAATGACTGGTTGGATGTATGTGATTCTCGATTGAAATATGTTGTTTTAAATAAATAACGATGCTCCTTTTAGATGATAGAAACAAACCACACTGTCACAGTGAAGAGTATTTATTTCCCTGTTTGCATTAGGAAGAATGTGGAACGTGTTTCAGGGATTGTCTCACGCGAACAAACTCTGGTATGTTTTTCAGGCCTTCCCTCCACTTCTTCTCCTCCAGCTCAAACTGCAAAATAGAAAGCATTTATTTATTTATTTTAAGGTTTCACAATCCCAGAGAAGACGAATCACTGAACAGTTGCTATTTCCCCCCTTGGTGTGCTTACATGTTGTATTCTCTGCTGTCTCCTGCGCAGTTTCACCTCTAAGTCAGAGCGAGGTTGGACAGACAGTTCCGTTTTCTTGAGCTGCTCTCTGTTTTTGATTTCGAGCACACATTGCAGCTCTGGCTTCTTTCGCGGCAGCATACCCCTGGAGATGCAACAGATTATTACCACAGGGCTTGGTCTTTGGAATGAGTCACAAATGCTGCAGAGCGCGTAACACATAAATCAGTGAGGGCGCAGTGTACAGTATACTCCTTAATTATAAGAACTCAGGTTGAAGATGTGAAAAAACTTGAAGTAAATTACTCTTACAGAGACTTGTTGACTCCTAACCTATATATGGCAGGTTTTGACATGACTCATGAAGGCTTTTGCCCAGGGCAGCAGTGGTAACAGGGTGGGAGGGGAACACCTGTACCATTTCTAAAACAGGTCATATTTATCTGTTAGTTGTTCTTTGAACAAGTTTGCTACTGCTGTCATACATGTGCAATCCAATGGGAGTTAGTGCCCTTCTTTATTGCCCCCAGCGGGCTATTAAAAATAGGTAGCTAGAGGGTTTTTGCAAATGATAACACAGATTCTCCAAATGGGGTGAAATGCATGTTGTTCTTTAGTTTTAAGTAAATTGGCTGGACAACTTCCATAACCAGGTCACTTACTTCACAAACTAGAACGACTTCTATGCCTGGTGCCATAGGAGAAAGTAAAGGTATGGCAGATAGTATAAGGAAGGGCAGACTGATAACACCACCTGATTTTGACGCTGAGAAAACTATTTGTTTTTTGGTTCAGAGGTGTACACAGAATCAATATAGAAACCAACAAATTCTCATAGTAAATTTTTGTAAAGGCTATTGATTTAGGAGTCGGGGAGTGAAGGGCAAAGAAGTTATGAATCAGACAAGAACTGAGAGTGGGGGCCTGAGAACAACACTTGCAGTCAGAAAATAATTTTATTTTCACTCATAAAGACATCTCTGCCGTCCTTTAAATGTTCTTTCATCTTTTCCAATTTGAACATTTTCTGACGTTCAAATTGCAGCAATAGACCACTCTGTCACAATATATTCGTAGCCACAGCCATTATAAATTAATTGCTAATATAACGTTCTATGATACTGATAACCTTAAAGTGTCATAGACCAAAAAAAATATCTTTTTTTAATTCATTTGCCAAAAATGATTAAGAGTGTGACAGCAATCATTATACAAAAACACACAAATAAAAAGAATTTTATAGAATAATAGGTGCATTTTTCAGCATTTTTTAATAGGTTTTTAAAAAACACAGCAAAAGATTATTTCATCTTATGACATCTTTACCGTAGGTTTCAAAATTGTAGAAGGTGAAACACTATTAGAGCCTGAACCCATACAACTAGCAGACAGTCTTTTTTGTCGTAAGTGGTATTTCTTCATTTTAGAAAAGAAAAACACCTGTTTTAGGGATAATCAGGGATATTCAGATGAGAGTTGCACCTTTGAGTCGACCTATACCACCTGGGCACAGTGCTTATCTATGTCCACAGCTCCAAGACAGCTGGACAGGGAAAGCCTAAGAGGATTCAATGACTCAAACAAGGAGACGCATAAAATACAGGACCAGCACTGCAACTTGATTTACAACAACTTGATTTAGAGACAATACAGAATCCATCTCCTTCTGAAATGACCTAGTTGAAAAGGCACATCAATCTCCTAAGACACTGGATCTGTATTTAATACCTCCAAAAAAGAAAAAGAAAGATTCCAGGGCGTCATTGAAAGTCTAAATATCATCTGTTCCCATGTTTTCAGCTCCCTTGTATGTGTTTTTGTGATAATGCTGAAATGACCTGGTTGTTGTCAGACAGAAAGCTGTTTCCTCACCGTCTGTAGCAGAATAGGAGCTCCTGATGAAGAGCTCTTCGTTGGACACAGGCCAGGATGGGATTTATCAGCTTTTGTGGTTTGATGAGGTCATCTTCCTCCTGTTGTTGATTTTCAATCACCTGGTGAGGTGGGCTGATCCAACACTGCGCTCTGTCTGATACGGATAAATGCAACGTCAGTGTGAATCAGTGTCTGTGCTACATCAGAGCTAACTCTTGGCAAGACAGAAAATGTACTCCATAAATCATGTGATTTATATTATAATGTTGAATTGCAAAATATGAAAAAGCTTAGGCTTTTTAAAAATCAAATGTAAACAATGAATCTTACTTGTTTTGGTTCTGAGATCATTTTTTTTTGGTACCTAAAAAAAACACAAAAAACAAAGAAAACGGTCTGTTAGAAAGAGTTAGGCTCAAATCATACAAATCCACAAAGACGACCATTCCCTCAATCAAGCATGCAAACCATTGAATTAGGTATATGTTTTAAATGAAATGGGCAATTAAATTTCTGTTTGATCATAACAACACTGGAAAAAGATGAATAACGAAGCATGGTTCTTCTAAACACTACCACTACATTGTTCAGCATTTCATTCATGTTATCCATGTCAGAACAATAATATATGAATTAAAACCCTTTACTCAAAAATGTGTACTATGCAAATGAGCAAAGAAAAATTTCATAATGATTTTGAAATCATTATGAAATGAAATTGGACATAAAAAACGTCTGCATAGAGTTGGCTGACTAAATAAATGGTTTTATATTCGTGTGTGTCCACTAAATTTTTGCCAATCAATAATTTAATAGATTTTTGTTCTTGTTCAAGATTCTCAAAAAATGTATAGAAAATAAAAGAATTATAGGATAATCATTTGATGCTACATCTCTGCGCAGCAACGCAAATGTCAGAAATTTCAACCCAGAAACACTTAGAACACCTTAACGTTATTTTTCTTTTTACATTTTTATTTCTTGAGGAAATCGTTTTGATTCCAAATCATATCATCAAATAGCAGCGCATTGATCATAATAAGACAATCTTACCTGCACGTTTTGGTAGAGACGCATTGCTTTGGATAAGGTACTCCGCAGGAACGGATGATACAGGAGGAGCTTTCTCTGCTGTTTGCACACTGTGAGCTGCAGTAGCTGTGAGGTGGATCAGAGCAGCTGTGCCACTCTGTCAAATCTTGTTAGGTGTCTCATGACCCTTTGTTCTACCCCTATTAACATTACAGGACAAACTTCTGTTGTTTTTGCGGTGCAGCAGGAGCACCATAAGCATAGATTAGGATAATGAAACATCATGTCGGGGATAACACTAAAGTCTTTACACAAATGAGCATCTGCTTTGTAGACATATTTATTAAAGGCTAGAAGTACAGTACTCACATTGTCACATTAACGTTTACCTTGTTAATTTGCACTTTTCTCTTAAAACCTCAGAATTAATAAGCACAAATAACACATGGATGAAAAAGAAAGCTCATTGAACCTTGAAGATACTTTAAAGGCTATAAGTAGATATACCTATAGTAAAATATTACTTACAAAAAACACAAAAATTAAGCTTCAATGTAAAATAAACAACAACAGATACATAAAAATCTCTATATGTAAATGTACATGTAGTAACATACAATTGCAATCAGTGAAATAAATGAACAAACAAACATACAAATAACTAAAATAAAATCTATTCACTGGCATAAATTAATGAATGATTAAACAAATAAATCTGACATATGTACAATATCCTAAAAACCTAGAAAAGTAATTAGTAAATAAAATCCTGAATATGATTAGTATTCTGCACACTGATGTAAATGAAAATATACAAACAATAAATGAATTCATTAATAAATTGGATACCATGCACTGGTAAATATATGAACATAAAAAAGAGAACAATTTTCACATAAAATGTGTTCTTCCTTAATTAAAATTGTATTTTTGTTGACAATTACATTTATAGTGCACCAAAATAACATTTTTTCTTCGTCTTTTATGCAACATACAGAGTTGTTGAGTATATTTGATGAAGCAAGGAGGATACCCAAAAGCATTATAACCCATTTTCTTTCTGGTGGCATGAGAAAAAAAAAATCCAAATCGGTTAAAGTAAAACAAAATAAGATCATCCTTGTCAGTTATTTCCATTATTAATAGTTAACATTAGTATCAAGTCGTGCCTACGAATTAATCGAGTAGTAACTACAATTTTATTTTTTCTCCAATGTCACCTTACGGGCTCTACAATGCTTTTTATTACAAACCCGTGGATTTCAATGAGGTCTTACCAATGATCTCCAGTAGGTGGCAGTAATATCAGTTGGACAACAACAAACGTGCAGCATAAAGGAAGAGTGTTAGGCAGGAAAACGGAAAAGTCAAACGAGTAACCAGGATGCGACACAGAATACCTTCTCTTTAAACTGTACGATGGTTTGTTAATTGTTAAGAAGAAAACGTCATATAACGTAGTCAGAGACCAAGTTGCAGCTATGACGAATGGTAAGTGAATTGCTTTATCCGACAGCTTAGCGTGTGGGGAATAGCTTTAAGTTGGCTTAGTTGTGAAGAGCAGAGCTAGTGAAGGCTAGTTGGGCTGTAGACGTGGCCCCTGGTGCTGCTTTCTGTCATGTCATGAGAACCGAAATAAACCCACCATTCATTGTGATACGGACCGATCTGATTGTTTTTGAAGCGTTACAAATGGACTGTCAAGCTCCTTGTGTTTCCTATGAAATTACAATTCGAGTAGCTTGCTAACTAGCATTAGTCGGTGAGGCTAACACTAAACAAATCAGGATGTCCAGGTGAACCTTACTTGTGAAGTGTGCATTCTTCTCCTGTTTTTTATGGTCTGTATCTTGTCGGCAGTGGACAGATGGAGACTTAACCTTAAAATGTTGACATTGCTGAAACTGACCAAAACTGACTGGCAGAAGATTCATTGAAACAGTTTTTGCTACTTTTGCTTTTCAGCAATCGCTTGGGAAATAATTAACACTTGAATTTAAACAATGGAAAGAGAACACTTAGACAAGCAACCTGCTCACATTTCAGGGTGCATCTCAATAAATTATATCATCCAAAAACTACAGTTACACTTAATTAATTTTTTTTAAAAAAGCAAAAACAATAGTTTATAATGTTGTTTGTCCTCTTTTGCAGTGTACTCCTTTGATGGCATCCTTGTATTTGGGCTGCTGTTCATCTGCACTTGTGCGTACCTCAAAAAGGTACCACGTCTCAACAGCTGGTTGCTGTCAGAAAAGAAAGGAGTGTGGGGAGTCTTCTACAAAGGTAAGCAAAGAGTAAAATACCCCAACAGAATAATAATTCAACATATTGCAGTTATTAAAAAATTGAAATCATCATAGTTTTTTAGGTATTGTTGGATAGTTTTTCTGTGCAGAAATAATGCTGTATTTTGTCATAAATAAGGGAACTGTTTGTGCCATTAATACCCAACTTTGTCATTATAGAGCTTAGCAAATAATACAATTGGGAAAACTTTTTTAAAAATCCAAATTAGACAAATACATATCATTGTCAAATAAAGTCACAGAGTAACTTTATTTTTATTCTGCATTTAACTTACCAGATTTTCCAAAACATTTGACAAAGCTAGTAAATAGTGAGATAAGCACTCTTTTATCCAGTTTATACCAAAAAAATTACCAAAATGCTGACATGTACTGACTGACATTCATTTCTGAAACTCCTGCAACCCTGTTTGTTTATATTGGCCATTGGGTAAAAGGTTATCAATTCATGGCGTATGAAAATATTAAACAATTTGTTTTATCGCTCTGACATTAAAGTTGAACTAAAATTTATCTGTTTCTTGAGCCACTTTGTTGCTAATTTGGGGGACGTGCCATCCAGGATAGTTGTCCATTTGGAAGACCCAATTTGTGCCTGAGCTTTAACACACTGTCTTATGTCTGTAATGTTGCTTTACTAATTTAGTGCAAGGCGCTTTCTCCATGATGTCATGTATTTTGTGAAGTGCACAAACTGCTCCTGCAGTTAACTTGATGATACCACTGCTGTACTTCAAAGCGGGATGTTACTTTGAAGCTTTATTTTTCTCTTACGTGTAACAATGGTGTTTATAGCCAAAAACACTTCAACTTTAGTTTCATCAGATCACAGAACATCTTCAGAAATCAGAGTCCTTGTCCCTAAATCCATTTGCAGAAAGTGGAAAAAAAACTTTTATGCATTACTTCATTGTATTTTGGTACATAACTCATTTAATTGCAAATTAAACTCTACAATCTGATTCAGCAACCTTCTTCAGCTATCATTCTAGGATTCATACACTTATTTAACACCAAACCACATTCTCTTCTCCCTATCTGGTATAACGGCTGGACATTCCCACTGTGTTTGCAAAATAATTGTTGCAACAGAGCAACGTGACACTTTAGGGAATCTTGTACGCAAGATATCCGATATCTGTTTCAGTCAAAGTTGATGTCACCAAAGGAAGCAGAGAGTTTACCCCAAAATACATCTTTCCTGTGCTGTATCTCTGCCTCACTGACCTGTAATCTTCTTTATCCAATGTCTCATTCTCAGCTGCAATAATTGGGACAAGGCTTCACATCGCCGTGGCAATTTCCTGCTTGATCATGGCCTTTTATGTCATCTTCCTGAAATGATAGTCACCCTGGACTGGACAGACGGAATGGCTGCTGGCTGAGAACGGACTCATCTCTGTGGTCCTGTGTCAATCCTCGCCATGGGGGCTGCCTCAAAGTGAGGACAAATCCCCCGCTGAGCTTCTGGACCCTTGTAAATATCAAGCCAGTGCTGCCCCCTTCTGGAGACTAGGCATATAACTCTTTATTGAATATGTATGCACTACAGTGATGGAGGATATTGTGACTCTACAGATCCTACAATTGAGAGAGCCTGCTGGTTCTTTTGATTTCATTCTGTCGTTGGGTTGTATTGTTATTTGTCTTAATTAAGACACTCACATGATTATTATTAATATTGTACTTTAAAACAGCAGAATGAAGGGTGAAATGTGAAAACACTTTACCTGTGTACAATTTTAAATTTGCATATTAAAAAAAATAAGTAATAGAAATCCAATGATTAATTCCACTTGCTCCCAGTTATACTATTGTTTATGTATTGTTTTTCCTAGCACCGGTGGAGGGAAAGCTAAAGCTAATATATAAATATGTCCACTCTTTTTTAAAAAAAATTGCTTTTAATCTTGTACATTTTCTTACAAGAGCCTCTTATGTTTGGCATCTCCTAAACATGTTTCAGGTTTGAAGGACACTTTTTGTACATGTTTATGTTCCATTTGTTCGATCGTCACCAGGGATGCTTTTCCACCTCTTGTTTCAATCAAAAACGTCATTGTGCTTTACTGGAATGATATGTGAAGTACTGAAACAAAGTAGTTCATGCTTGTGAAGCAGAAGGAAAATGATGCATGCTTTTCAAATAAAAGAAAAAACAAAAATGTGGTGAGCATTTGAATTCAGATCCCCTAAGTCGATTCTACTGGAACTGTTTGTGCTCCACACAAACAGTTTCACTTTGTTTTTGTTTTGTTTTTTCTGCGTATTTACCAGTTTGCAATTCACATTTTTTGTTAAACTGCTTAAATCCAAACAAGAATATGTTTTAATTTGGACTTTACGGTTCTGGTTGAAGATGAACCCCTGGCTCAGTTAAAAATCTTCAAAATACTTTTGTACCTTTTTGTTTCTAGGACTGATTTCTATATAGAACAATCTTATGAACAGAACCTTACTAGTTCCTTCTACCTGCTGGAGAACAAAATTCCCACAGCATGATGCTGCCACCACCATGGTTCCATGTGATTCAGGATGATGTGCATTGTTCGTTTTGTCACAAATTACATTTCTCATCTTGTTATAAACTGCTCCACAACTTTATCCCCAACCTGTCTGTTGTGTTCTTTGGTCTTCGTGAAGACTTTTCTTCTAAAAAATGTTCTTTAGCAAACCTCTGAGGCCTCCACAGAACAGATCAGGTGTGACGAGTACTGATCTAGTTGCATGGTTTAAAATTTGATGACTGAAATTAAATCACACATGTGCGATTTGTATTAGTGAAAGAAGATACTGAAACTAAATTTTCTTTCTCTTGACAATTGGATGCTAGATTATGACCCATGCAGCCCCTTTATAATTTATACTAAGCATGTATTAATGTGATGAATGGCTTTGAGATCAGTTCAAGATCTATCACAGATCTACCAAATTTGCAGATCGCCACAGAAGAGCTCCAAATGAAAAAGAAACTAATGCTACATGACATAACTAGTCATGTATCTACATTTAATTTGCCTGAAGATGTGAAAGCAATGCCAAATGGGTTCCGTGATCATGCCAATTTATTCATTTGCTGTTAATCAGACTTCATTATTTGTGCTATTAAAATGCATTGTTTTGGAGAATTCAATGATGTTTTGATAAATAAAATAAAACAATTAAACAGTCTCTGCTTCTTGTGTTTGAAAAACACATTGTTTTCCTCAAGTGTTAGTGTCCATGAAGCATAACTCAACATACACGTGTCTGCAAGTTTCAAATAGTCAACTTGTTTCAAAGTAGCTCACAGCCATTGTGGTCAGCATTTTTCTCAAAACAATACAATGTTTTGGTGCTTTCGTTTTCACCCCCAAACCCTCATGCACGTTGCAGAAACTCCCCTCAGAATTTCCCATCTCAATTGTTTCAGCCCCCCTCAAGCATAGTGATGGGCTCTGCGTGCTGCTACTGGTTTAAAGATGACTTCCTCTCAGTTCAACTTGGCGTATTTTTGATTCATATAATTTACCTTTTCTAATTCGTCCAGTGTATTTATGAATGTGCTCCAGATGCTTTCTCTTTAACAACCACGTTTTCAAACAAACAGTAGCAAAAACAGTGTACATCCAAAAGCTAGTACGGTATGTCACCAGGTCGTCCCTTCACCTTCTTTTCTTCACAACAGTTTTTATGAATGGAGTAATTGAACATCAAGTCCATACAGGCTTTCTAGTGCCAGAAGCAGTTATGAATTGAAGCATCACATTTGGGCTTGTACTGCAAAATGCGTTAGCCTCAAAGGAGAGAGATGGAATACAAGTGTGCTGTTCATAAATAAGATAAAGATCAAAAGCTATTAATATACTTCCTGTTCAAATACAGAGCCTCCAAATCCAATGTCTATCGTGCATTAAAAACTCAACAATTTATTTGCATGTCTATGTATTGGTATCTAAAATCTTTGACATTTACTGCCACATCATCTTTAATGAATATGGTGTGACTCATTTTGAAAATGCCAAGATGTGTGGTTTTTTTTTTTGTAAAATCTACCTCCTCGAGCATGTCAGTTGACAAAATGCACAGTTTTGTGCTTGACCCACTCACCTTTTGGTAAATATGTCTGCCTATACTGAATCAAGCTAGCAAACAACAGATATTAAAATGTTGCCTTACAGTCGTTTAAAACATGGACATCGATCAAAGCATTATTCAAGCATCAAACTAGTCCAGTTCAAATTAAGACCATGATCAAATTGATAATCAAGCAAAACTTGAAAACTGTTCAACGCTGTTGCTCTTCCTCCAGATTTTTTCTTGCATGAAAATGGTCTATAGATATACAAAGTGGGTGGGGACAAAAACAAAAGTTGTACAGATCTAAGTGTAGACGAGCTGAATACAGTCATAGTGTTTTTATTCATATGAGTGATTCTTCCTCCTTATTGAGAAGATCAGACTTATCATGCTGCCATGCATTTGTAATAGATTCATGCAATTTGAATCGCTGTTGCATCTTGGATAAATATTTTGGATAGATATCTTTGAACTATAGGAGGAAAATGCATGTTATTTACTGGAATAGCTTACTGAGGTAACTCCCAAAGTTGTCTTTCAAGCATTTTGTCATATCGTATTAGTAAAAATAATACCAGGTTCAGTTAAAAAATATAGTTGAAGATCCCAGAATTAAAACAGAATGTGTTTTAATTCACATGTTTTGTTTTTCTCCACTTCCGTAAGATATGTTTATATGTTTAGAGACAGTTCCTTCGCTTCATATTTTTGTCTCTTCATTGCTTGAAAGCATTTTATTGCTGAAGAATTTTGTTGGCGTGGGTCTGTTTTTGGAGATAACTTGAGTTTTTTTTCTCTTATTATTTCTTTTTAACATGACTGATGATGTCTTTGAAATTGTGCAGTGACCTAGACCAGGATTCCCTCCAGGAAGAGATGCTGTGTCTCAGTGGGACCTTGCAAGCTGATTGAACGACAACAATCCAGCTGTACCCGCTTCCTCTTCCACAGTCGCTGTGGCTGGTGCTGATCTTCAGTGCTCATGAGGAAAAAGGTAGAATACACACTGGGCAGGTCACCAGTCCATTACAGGGCAACACAGAGACATACAGGACACACAATCATGCACACACACACGCCAAAGGGCAATTTAGAGAGCCAATTGCTTTTAGACTATGGAAAATCTGGAGTACTCAGGGTATAACAACAGCAACTTCTACTGTTACTACTAACAGTAACAATAATTATACAAATAACAATAACTAGTCATGTATTACTACATACAATTGCAATAAACTGCACATGTCTTGGTTATAACATGTCAATATGTGAAAAATGCTCCAAGTATTACTCTACAAGGCAGTATGTGGACCAAATTGGGTTTTTTAAAAACAGTTCTACAAGATTTTTTTTTCTTAATTTAAACCAAAAAAATCACAACAAGTTTGGTTGTAATTAATATACATTTTAAAAGTATGCCTCATCCTAACATTTTCTTATCAGAGGCTGCTCAAGTAAAAAGCTCTAATTATTGACAGCGGGAGATTACCGCCCCAGGGGATATCCCCAAGACACCCAACAGCGCGCACTTTCTCGCGAGAAAATCTTTCTCCCCGCGGTGAACGCGCAGAGACGATGGGACGTGCGCGTTCAGGTCGCCTCGCGCCCAGCTCAGAATAGAGGCGAAAAATCCAGCGAAAGCCAGAGAGAGGGCTTCCTGACCTGAAACATTGTGTACACCAAGTTGTTTCCGAGCGCTCCGCAGACAGAGGAGGGGGATTTTCCTTTTGCGCAACTGCTCTTTTTTTTTCTTCCCCTTTTTGCAGAGACTGGGCGAGTGAAGTTGTCGTTTTTTTGGAGTTTTACAAAGGGGAGAGCGGCAGCGCAGCACGTCGCCACACGCAGGGAGGAGCGGAGAAGAGGGCAGAAGTTTCCGCTGGCTTGTTGTGTCGCCGCGGGGCTGCTGGTGGTCAATCCGCAGGAATGTCGCACAAGGAGAGACCCGTTTTCTACCGACAGGAGCTCAACAAAACCGTGTGGGAAGTCCCGCAGCGCTATCAGAGCCTGTCTCCGGTCGGCTCCGGTGCTTACGGATCCGTGTGGTGAGTAATTGCCGCTGCAAGAGTCCTGTCAAAAGCTTACAGTGCGATTGCACAACGACCGAGTGGCTTTCCATGACCCGCGGAGGCCGAGCGAGCTGGCTCTCCTCTGGAGTAGTTATTAGCTTGCACCGAGCTTCCGAGGAGGACATGCTGAACAGCAGCTATTGTTTACAGCTGCGCGTCGTGCACTTTCCATAGCAGTTCGCGTCAAGTTCGGGCTTTATGTTTTTGTGCACATTTGCTTGCTTTTTCATGCTCACATTTGCTTGTATTTTTTTTTTTATTTGACTTTTGCTTTAAGTTTTAGCGAGACTCCTGGTGTCCACTGTGCAGGCGGCCTACGGTTTGCACTGGTCCCTCCTCTGATGAGATGACATGCCCATACTTGTATCCTATGGAGAAACGGTGCCTCCTCGTTGCATCTGTTCTCATGGTGTCTGTAAATAGCATGGCTTCTCTTAGTCCTGCACGTGAAGAACTCACTACCGTCTCAGTGTTGCATGGACGTTATGCATTTTCCAGTTCGGTGCAGCCTGCAGAGTACCAGGAGGTCACGTGGTTTTTCGGAAAGCAGGCCCCCCTACTGCACGTAGTTGTACAGGAACCCATCCGAGGATGATGATGATGACTCTAGTCTAGAATGATGTCATCCTTTCTCCTGTTGTGTTACACACGGATGAGTCACAGTCCCGAGCTTAGGTGTTGGCCTCACAGCTGTGACGCCCTCCACTCAGCCATGTCATTATGATATATAGATGAGTTGCACCTCTAACTTCCCTCCTTAAGTTGACCCAACTTTAGCTGCTTGGAAAGTCTTTTGCGAGAGGAATGCCACGGAAGTGCATGTCCGCTATTAAAATGAATCTGGAGAACTCTTGCAAAAGTCTTCATACCCCCTAAGCTTCATGTTACAATCACAGACTGAAGTGGTTTTTATGTTGTGGAGCCACAAAACAGTTGCAACTGTGAAACGGAAGTCACTTTAGTCTGGGTGTAAATGCCTCAAAGATTTATCAGAGAGTATCTTTTCGAAGTACAATATGTAGTCAGTAAAACAGACACAGTGAAAGCTCTCACTTAGACATAAATGACATTTGCAAAAATGCTGAAGGTCATACAGAGTAGGAAGCACAGATCAGAAGTAGAGGAAAGAAGAAAACACACATATCACACCAGATATTGTCATCCTAATATTTGCTAATGTTATTGTTATTGCAAGATTTTCTAGTATTGTGCAGGCTTGGTTATTCATAGTATAATTTAATATCTGTGGCCAAGCTCAGATTCATGTTTGCTCTCCATCCAAATTGACTGAGCTTGAGGAATTTTCCAAGGAAATTGAAAGAAACATTCCTCAAAGAGGCTTGCAGTGGTAATCAAAGGATGAAGTCACTGTAAAGGCATTGACAGCTGACACACTTTCAGTTTTAATTTATGAAAAAAGTCTGAAAACTTTGTTTCTTTTTTGCGTCATTTCTCAATTATTTACTGTCTTGTAAATAAAGCTCCTCCGAAAGTCAGTCAAATGAGACACAGTCTAAAAAGTTTTAATTCTGCTATTACTCTTGTGAGGTTCTGTGTGATCAAACTATTTTATATTTTTCTTTTACACTTATCTTAAGAGTTTGTAGAGTTTACCCTGAATGTCACTGTTTGCATAAAGTCAGTGTCGATTACTTTAAATAAGCTCCAATAAAAAGAAAAAAAAAACAAAAAACATGAACCCAATACAGAGCCAGAGATCAATCACATTTTAAAGTGTCAGACAGTCAAAGATAAAAATGGGGCACGACTTTGCAGCAAAGTTTTTGAAATTCAAATTACACGCCTTATTGTGCTCTGACTCACTCAGTTCTTGTCTCACAGCATTATGTTTTCATCTTAAGTTAAACAAATCATTTTCTGTCTTTAGCTTCAGCATTTTCAGAATTCATTTTAGTCTATAGCGTGGATTGAACGTCACAAGACGTCGCAGCAACTCTCAAATGGATGGAAACTTCAGTTTTGCATACTTATTTTTTTTTTCCTGCAGGTCTGTCCTCTTCTGGATGAAAAGAAAATAATTATTTTGCCTGGAAAGTCATGTCCTCTAGTATTGCATTCAGAAAATGTGTTTTATGTGTCTTTATGAGCAGATCATATTACAGCTTCACTGTATTTTAAGGTTTTCTATACACTGCAATTTAGTTTTTTTTTTCATGTTCCTACTACTTTAGTTTGTGACCCCCCACTCCCCCACCTCCAGTAAATAAGCAGGGTGTAGCTTGGCTGCCAAAGTTATTACAGCTCTTATATTAATCATACCAGTTAACTTCTTACATTGATTACTCTAGTTGCCTTATGTCACTATGAGGACATCAGCAGCTCAGTAATTATGTGCATTGTGAGATCTGACAACTTGAGCCCAAAAACAGCAAATCTAGATGATAAGTGTAAATACATCTATGACAAACCTTAAAAACGTCTTTTTTTTAGTTTGTCATGTTTCTCAAAGGTCAGTCTGTTAGCTGAAAAAGCTGCACTGTCCTACATTTCTCAATGATCTTGATGCTTGTTCTTGTCATAAAAGAATAGAATGGATAAAAAGATTAGTGCTCATAACACCTGCTTTATACCTGCACGAATTAGTTTTACGTCGCGCCGTGGTTTCTTTTCTCCATTATTTCTTTGCAAATGAAAATTAAGGTTGTGACAGCAAAAGTCACCTAAAATTATTTTGAGAGCCTTAAGAGTTGTAAGAATTTGCCCTTTAAAAAAAAGTATGTTGTTTTTTTAATTAACTCTAGTTAATTTAAATATTGCATTTGTACTCAATTGTTCTAAAAAACACTATGTAACAAAAGCTAAATGCACTGTAGACTTTTATGTAAAGTTTAGTTTAAACCTTTCTTTTTGTTGTTTTCATTTGATTAGTTTCCAATGTGCTGCTGCTGTTGCACTGAAGACATTGCTAGAAATTACTATAAATATAGACATAGATATAAATATTCTTTGTGGTCCCGCAGTGGGAAAATTCTGGTGTAACAGCAGCATCAGGGCATGTAGGTTCACATAAAGATAAAGTGTTAAAAATATATGAAAACAAAATTAAGAATGACATACTGTCTGCTACTGACACCAGTTACAGAAAAGTCTTTGTTGTCTCAGTTTAATCATGTTGGTTTAGTATGTGATGCTCTAATAATCTGAAATTTCACTCAAGAAAGCACCTGTCTTCAGACTTTTGTGATTAGACTGCGTAAAACTTGCTGAGGTTTTGTTGTCAGATGTGACCAAACACCTTCTTGATGTGTAAATATAGGGTGGCACAAAATGCCATACTCAGTTTTAGTTCACACAACAATGTGATTGTAGGTTTAGGATTTTCTCCAGGAGAGAATATCTAAAATGCACTGAAAGATGAGACTGCACTTATTACAGACATCTCTACCACTCATTTGTAGTACTCATTTATGTGTTTGCTCACTTAGCGTGCCTGTTAGTCAGCAGCCTGGCTCTCCACTTCCATGCGAAGCTGGCCTCACAGCATTGCTCCTTTTTACAGCCCACAGTTTATGGCCATTTGTTGCTGCACTTCCATTTATTACAGACTAATTGGATGATGTGTGCTTAGGCTTTTTCTGTTTGCCTTGTAGATTAGCAGTAGTTTTAAACATAGTTTGCTCGTGTCATATTTTTTTTGTGTGTTTTTTATTTTAGTTCTGGTTCTGCTGAGTATGACTTTTCTCTCACTGCTGACACACACATGGTTGTTCCTCAAGCCTCCAACATTGGGTGTGGGAGATTATCTCCGGCTTACTGGAAAGAGCGCCAATGCTTATCTTAATGTTCTTGTTATGGATGCATGACAAATAGGGTCATAGTTTACCACTAAAGTGCCACAGCTGGGAGTAAATTCTAGGACGTGTTTAGTAGTTTTAGTAGTTTAAAGTATCTATTTAGGTGTCCAGGAGAAATTTACACTGCTGTGTTTCTGGGTTAGGTTATGTTTTTGCTGCTCAGTGACTAAAGTTTCTGTTTGTATTAGGTAATTTCATAGTCTAGTCTTACAAAAGCATGTTGACCAAAAGCAAATTACCATTGTAACAACATATTTGTTAGCATCATTACTTGGAAAGATTGCTATTTTTTTTTTCCTTCTGGGTTTGCAATCGTCTTTATATCTTTTCAGATTAGGTGATTGACCTCAAAGGAATGTGGGTTATCTCAAGCAGGTTGTACTCCTTTCAGATGCAGGAGAGGCAGAAATATGTTGTGTGTTTTAAAGGCTAGACCTGTCTGCCACGTTTCTGTGTGTTGAGGGAACCACAGAAAATCCCTCGATGAAACAAAATCGCTTCTCTGCTTTTTGGAATATGCATGTTTGGTTCAACCGGATTCGCTGTATGTTTTTAACAAAATATGTCCTGTTCAACTATTTTTATTGAGAAACAGTTGCTTTGTAAGCAAAGAAGTTGTGCGGTAGTCTCCTTTTTAATTTGAAAAATCTCTGTAGTGTAAACAATTCATCACAATTGCATATTTTCAGTGTAGCAATATTTGATGTTTTTCAACTCCAGGAATTTTTACATGCAATTTCTTTGATGTAGAGTCTAATGATTTGCTAAATAATGCATAAAAAAGCAGTTCTTTGTAATTACAATACAGTACACTTAGATATTATAACAAGTATATGTGTGTAATAAGGATACCTAATATGCTGTGCATTAAAGAGTAATTAGTTATTAGAGATTTGTATTTCCCAGTACAAAGTTTTTAAAGGTGTGATGCTGAATATGATGGCAAAATGTGTCTTTACATAATGCAAACTTAGTAACTGGTAGATTTGCTTTATCTGGACAGTGCTTTGAACAGCACTGAAGTGGCTTTTGTTCTTCTACCTGTTGCTGTCCACAGTGGTCATAATGTTCAGCAGCAGGTTCAGTTATAAAGTAAGAACTGAAACCGAGGGCTCAGTGTTATGCAATAATTTGCTCTGTCTGCTAGGTTGTTGTAACCACCTACACAATCAGGTGAAGGATCTCATTGTTGGCTAAATCAAGTGGAAATGTTGAGCTTTTGATGCGTCGTTTACTACCTGCCTGCATGAAGACATCGACTGCCTTCTTCTCACGTGTTTCATACGTTCTGCTCGTTCACAGCTCAGCGTTCGACGAGAAGACGGGCCTAAAGGTAGCGGTGAAAAAGCTGTCCAGACCTTTCCAGTCCATCATCCACGCAAAGAGAACGTACAGAGAGCTGCGGCTGCTCAAACACATGAAGCACGAGAACGTAAGTCCCCTGCAGTTCGGCCTCTCTCGCTTCCAGCAATACCTCTGTCCTGGCTCTGCAAACTCGCGCACAAACCTGCATACGTTTTTGTTTATTTTAAGATTTAATAACCGCTCGATCACATTTATGTCTGCTGTACATGCAGGGAGAGCCATGTAACATTAGGGTATCATGCAGAGCTGATTATGGAGCGGGGGGAGAGGAAAACATGTTGTGACACACGTAACCAGACTGTACTAATCAGGTTACAGGTTATTTATGTAGCAGGTTTGAAAAGACTCCAATTATGAGAAAAGTGAAGGTCATAGCAACACACTGAGGTTTCGCTTGTCCTGTGAATGATAGCATAACCAGCATGCCAGCTGAGGCAGGTGTCAGCTCTTGCTTGGAGAGGTTTTCCCCCTGCATGTGGCTCTGTGGTGCTTTGCACTTTCTGAGTCACCAAACAAGTTTACTAAATGCACTCTCCTCACCCTCTGATCTATCAGGATCCATGAACCCTGCTCCAGGATCTGTGGAGCCCGCTCCAGGATCTGTGGAGCCTGCTCCATAGATCAGAGGTTTGTTGCTGTTTGTCACAGCAACACTGCATTATTCAGGGCAGTGGCTTCAGTTGCCCTCCCACAAATCACTGCTTTGGTTTCCAATTTGATTGAATTGATTTCAAAGTCTAGATGAGCATGAGGAAGAAAAAGAAGTATGAAAAATATTTCAATTTGTTGTTTCCATGCTTCCTTTTGTTTTTCCTTTCTTCTTTAAAATCCTGCTTTCCTTCCTTCCTTCCTAAATCCTTTCCATCTTATTTTCTCTCCTTCTTTCTGTCCCTCTTTGTGTCATTTAAGTTTTTATTGGTATTCTTCATACTGCTTTACTTTTTTATCCTTTTGTCTCCATCCTCTTTCGTTCTTTCTTGTTTCCTTATGTTTCTTTCTTTCCTTGGTCTCTTCCTTTTTTGTGTCCTTCCTTCCTTCTGTACTTTCATTATCCCATGATCCTTCATTGCTTTGTCTGTGTTCCTTCTGCCTTCCTCTGTGGTGTTTCCTGGTTCCAATTTAAAGCTTTACAAACATGGACTTAAAAATTAAATTAAAGGTATTTTCTATGAAAATTGTGTAGGAACTCTAATAATAGTAGTACTCCTTAAATGACTGAGTTACTCTAGATAGCAGACATTGGCTATTTAAAGTTTAGGGCTAAGTTGTGTGTGCAGAAATTGGCATGGCTAGGAGTTTATTTGTTTGTTGGTGTGCTTGCAGCTATCATAGGAGTAAGAGACTTTTCTGAACAAATATCTGAAATTTCTTTCTTATTTTCAATTCTATGTCTCAAAAAACAAATGTCGTTTCATTTCAGTGCTGGCACAAGTTTAGTAAGCAGTGACGGCAAACAGAAAGCACATCAACACAGAAGAATAACAGAGAGAGTCATAGAGTGATGTTTGATTAATGCAGTCAGGCTGATTGTCTCTGGATGGGGTAGAGAGAAGAAGGAAGCTGCTGTTCAGCAGCCTCACTGCCTGTGGCTACAAGCTTGTGTAGACCTGCACCGTCTACTGAGGGCAGCAGATGGGACAGGACACAAATATGTTTGTGGATTCTTCTCAGTCAGTGGTTGGTGTGGATGTTATTGCTCTCTGGAAGAATAACTTTCTCCGCTGCTTTAACCACTTTGCTTTCTGAGGAGACTTTATTGTTCCAGGTCAAATCCTCTGAAGTAGTTACTCCCAGGTATTTGGAGTTAGTACGTCTCTCTCTGCAGAGATTTGGGAGTGGTTTTGTCTGCTTCTGCAGAAATCCACAATAATTTCCTTGGTCTTCCTGACATTCAGAATCAGGTCATCGTTGTTGATGTTGCAAGTTCAGACCTGTACAGTGTCTCATCATTGCTTATGAGGCCGAGCACTGTGATGACACCAGCAAATTTAACAGTGAGATTTGATGGAAAAGAGGAAGAGCAATCAGGTGTGGAGGAGAGTGTATTTCTTTCTGTTTTGCTTTTGTCATTAAAGCTTTTGATGTAGAAAGTGTTTGACGTATTCTACTTCAGGCTTTCAAAAGGCCTTTTAAAGCTTGTCTTAGTTTTGCTCTTTTATTGGAATTTATGAATATTTGAAAAAATGTCTCATAAGAGTTTCACATGTTGTAATTAAGTATCAACAAACTGTCATGAATTCAAAAGCTCATCTGATTTTTGGAGTTTGGAAGTAAAACATGGAGAAATTATTTCTGCACATCACTTTGCATAAAAAATAGTGTAGGATAGTTTTGACTAAAATTACAAGTGCTGGTAAAATTTTTCTTGATATTGTGGCGCCAAGTGGAGATCTTTTATTGGTAACACTTAATGAGGTTAAAAATAAACGTACTGTAGACCAGGTGGGGTCAGATGATATAACGATTCCATTTTCCAGATTCAAACAACAAATCTTGTCTTTTCCTTTCACTTTGGGATTTTTATTCTGCTTTCTGTGAGTCTGTCACATAAAATCTCTGTCAAATACATTGTTGTAAAAGAATCTGTGTGAACCTGATTCCTTTGACTCAAACCCGATGAAAGCTTCTTGTGATTCATTGCACTCTCAAAATGACTTTTTAGCTAGATCCTGTTTTCTGAACACACCCTTATTTCACTACTGGATCAGCTACAGCATGTTTGCTGAGCACTTTTGGAATTAGTGTTGCACAAAGCAGCGATACTGCAGCTACCTCTCTCTATTCATATAAAAAACAGGTTTTACATGAAGGGGGCGGGGGATTTTTTGGGATTACTGTGATCATTATGCTAAATGCATATCAGTGACATTGTATAGAAACTGAATAGTTTGCTCGCATAATAAAATCACACTGAAAGGCTTATGTAAGAGTGCATGCATGCTACTGAGCTCTTGTTCTTCATGTTTACAGGAAGCAGAAGCATAAAGCTGCACAGCTTTTTGATACAAATGTGAGATTTACACACACAGAAAAGGGATTCTGTGTTTTGCTCATGCTGTTGCCAGGAGACTCCCCGGGTTTTGATTTTGGAAAGTCAAACTGGGCCAATCAGCTGTTTGCTGTGGCTGCAGCTCCACCAATAAGCTCAGAGTTGGGATGCTGTGTGGGTGGGCCGCTCAAATGTTTTCACAGCACCTTATCCATCTCGGTCTCTTCTCTAGGGGTTGGGGGCAGGGCTGGCACTCTATGTCAGTATGCATGCTTGCACCTATATGTAGATATAAATATGCATGATTGTGTGCATAAACAGGTGCTTCAGGAAATATCATATGGCGTTTATGCTCAATGTTTTTGCACAGTGCTCCTCACCTTTGTCTTTGTTCATCCTGCAGCAGCACGAAAGCAGTTAATTCATGTTCAGATATTTAACACATCGTTTTTGGTTTTTCTTTCTTGCACTTGCTGTCTCACTTGACAAGATTGTCGATAAGCGCAAAAGAGCCCCTGCTCAATTTGATGTATGCAGTTTTTCTTTTAAAATGAAGTGTACTTAGACACATCCTATTGGTTTGTGTTTTTTAGCTTTGTGCAGACACTTGACCACAAAGGAAGTAAAAAATTGTATTCTGTGTAATCTCCCCATTTGTGTGATTAAAGAGCTGTGCAGCCAAAACATAGCATGACCTACATCTAATATAATCAGATCAAATTAGATTTGTTAGTTGGACTTAATCTAAAGAAACATTGAGGTCACTTGAATATCTAGTTATTGTAATTCTGTCAAGGTTACTACAGAATCTTAAAGAGTTTGGAATTTACTTTTGTTATTTTCCAGATCTAGAAATCTATTAAAGAAAGCAATTGATGGATCTTAAAAATAAATTTATTTAAAATCTATAAGGTCTAATTTCAGAATAGGTATGATACAGCAATACTTTTTTTTTTAAACAGTGCTGATCTACATTGGTCCTTTAAACTGTGAATGGCCCTTTATCAAACCAATACATTGAAAACCGACTTCTGTATTTCATGATTGTTGAACATGCAGATGCCAGTGTTTATTTTGCAGGTGAGGTTCTACTACTCAAAAAAGCCAATGCATAAAACATTTTATTTTGAGAAAATTTTCATCTGCAAAGTCTGTATTGTTACAGCGGAAAGTCAGTGGGAACCTGGCTGCATGCAGTAAAAATAGCCCTTGTCAAACTTGTTTCTCACCTCAAACAACTTGGGTGCAAGTGTGGTGCTTTCTTTGGATTTGAAACAAGAATATTTAATCATGTCAGCTGAGTGTTTTCAGATGTCATGTTCTGTGTCGAAAAGCAGGTAGTTGTAAATGATTACTAACCTCCTAACTTATGTTTCCCTGCAGGTAATCGGACTCTTAGATGTTTTCACCCCTGCAACCAGCTTAGAGGAGTTTAATGATGTGTAAGTTACTTTTTCCATACCCCCCCTCTTTCTGCTGCCTTTTTGTCCCCATTTGGAGTCTTTGGTTTTTACTGTTTTTCAGTTTCTCTTCCTCCTTTCTGTCCACGGTTCTGTTGCTCGACTTCAAACTAATGGCAGTTCTGCAAAAGATACTTAAAGTTTGTGTGTGCCCAGCTTGTGTCGAGTGTGTACCAAGGTGAATGCAGAGTTGAACACACGTGCACACCGAGCTAGTCTCCATGGTAACAGCCATCTGGCCGTCTCTGTGCATGTCCTCTGTGTGTGTGTGTGTGTGTGTGTGTGTGTGTGTGTGTGTGTGTGTGTGTGTGTGTGTGTGTGTGCGCTGAATCCTCAATGAGCGTCCTTGAATTCTCTGTGTGCTGTTGCGTCATCAGCCTGTTGCACATTTGTGGAAATGTGAGTTGAACCTGCACAGACAATTCAGGATGTGCGACACCTCTGTTTTAGTGAGCGTTCGTGAAGGCAGTAAAAACAATTTTCCTCCTGCAGAAAATCAGATGGACACAAGTCTCTCACTGACGATGATTCGGGCCATTAGAAGCAAAGCCGTACAGTGGGAGCACTAGACTGCGCATCAGTGTGCAGTACTTCCATTTAGCGAAGCAAAACGGGTTTCAGTTTCACAAAGTAGGAGTAAAAATTCAGCTTTTGTTTCATGCCGTTCTAATTCAGGATGTTAATGTGTTAATGTGTTCCGCTGTGCTAATTATGAGTTGTATGTGTTTGCTCTTGAATATAATTTATTGAAAAGTAAATGTATCAAATAGATACATCTTAATAAATTAAAACATAGTTGAAAAGTTAGTTTATCTTAGTAATTGAATTGAAAGTAGCACTTACTAAGGTACCTTGCACAAATTGCTATATAATTCAACATAAAAAAAGTACATTTAAAATACTATCCCCAAAAATTTTACATGAGGGAAAAAAAATATTATTTTTCCTTTAAATACAGATTGGTTGAGTTACAATTAGCTGCAACAAACAGACCCTTATGTTAATCCACTGCTGAATCAGAGACATCTAAATCATTTTTATCTTAAAGAGAAAAAAGTGACTGGATTATTGCTCAGTGATCCATAGTCCTCTAAATGGCAAACAGGTGTAGCAAGTGTTTAATTTGGTTATCAAGGTCCCAGAGTCTGGAGGAAGAGTGGAGAGGTTAAGTTTCCCCAGTCTGTGTTTACTGAATGATTGAAACCATGCCATGTGTTGCAGTTGCTATGCGTGTCTCAGGTTTTACAACTGAATTGTTGAAACAAATAAACTGCTTTTCTCATTTATCTCCTTCCACTTGGTAACTATTTCAGCTTTAGAAGCTAAACTGAATAAAATAAAGAGAAGTATTTGTTACAAATGCAATGAATAAATTTAATCTCTTTGAAGAGGTTTAGAAAACTAGATGTTGAAAGTGACTGTGGGCAGGTTATGGTACTATTTACAATTAAATAAAAATGAAAGCACACTTTGTGGCTGAGAATCAATAATATTTTTATTTTAAGTAAATTGTTTTTGTTAGTGAAACAATAAAAAAACATGCAAGCTAAGTTAATATTCAAATAATATGTTCCTATAATACCGAACCATCCTGCACCCACAAGTTACCAATGAAGCATAATGGATTGACGGCCATAATCAAAATATACATGCTCAGCTCCATCTGGCTCCATCTATTTTAGCTAAACTTGAAATTAATGAGCATACTATGACCAGTCCATTTAAAGTGTGTTTTTTCCTCTAAAATACAAGAATCTTTGTTTGGCTCAAGAGGTAAGAAATTGTGGCTCTTTGAACATGTTAGGAATCCAGCTCCACCTCCAGCAAACATGGATGTGGTTTCATTATCAGGAAAGCATGAGTGAAACTGATGCCCAAGTTGACCTTCGTTCCTTATGCTGATAATGCTGATGGGATTTTAGAAGGTTGTAAACAAATTGCCAAGTGTTATAATGAGTCACCACACAATTAGGGAAAGTAATGTAGCGCGACAAAGCCTTCACACAACTACTGATACTTATGTATAATAAAGATCACATCTGTTTCATTTGCAGATATCTGGTGACGCACCTTATGGGAGCAGATCTAAACAACATTGTCAAGTGTCAGAAGCTGACAGACGACCACGTCCAGTTTCTCATTTACCAGATCCTCAGAGGCTTAAAGGTTGGTGGGAGTCTCACTCAATTAACAGCTTCAACTAAAATTCCTAAAATTAGTGACCGGGTGCAATAGGGTCATCTGCAGTCTTTGATTTAATGCTTCATTGTACAAAAGAAGTCAAAATAATGCAATAATCAAACCTAGCAGTTTTCTCTTCTTTTGTTTTTTGCATCAATTTAGATTGTATTTACATATTACATGTAAATATGTATGTGTATAAGTGTATATTCTGTTGTCTAAAACAGTATTGAGATTGGAAGTTAAGCCCTTTTTTTGCTCTTTCTCCTACAGTACATCCACTCAGCAGACATAATCCATAGAGTAAGTGTTGGCTCTGCTGAATATGAAGATAAACTCCATATATTAAACTATTTTCTTTTAGCCAAAGTATACCGTTTTTTTGTTTTGTTTTTTGTTTTTATTAAACATGCTGACTAAATGGGACCCTTCAACCTTTTTTAGGACTTAAAGCCCAGTAATCTGGCTGTTAACGAAGACTGTGAGCTTAAGGTGAGGAACATTTCCCAGAACTGTTTTGGACCTTCATCACAATGAGCGGTGCTCAGCACACTGTCCTGTCTTCTCATTGCTCAGATCCTTGACTTTGGGTTGGCGAGGCACACAGATGACGAGATGACGGGATACGTAGCGACGCGGTGGTATCGAGCCCCAGAGATCATGCTCAACTGGATGCACTACAACATGACGGGTAAGCTGTCACAATTCTTAAAACTGAGATGAACATATGCAGTTTTACAAATCCTACAATTTGTACTGTTCTGTTAATTGTACTGTTCCATTTGGATACATAGGCCTCATTTCTAAGTTCAATAAATATAGATGGATGACATTAAAAACAGCCAGTGTGTCAAGATTGTATTTTTATATTTTCAGTGCATATTTGCAGAGAACATTGGACTCACAAATTCTCCAGAACATAATATTATCAAAAAGCTTTTTTAAGAGTGCAGCCCTTTGATTGTGGGTATGGTCAATTGTCATCTTCACAGATCGGTATAAGTGTGAATTACCTGAACCTGTTTTATCTTATTCTTAGACTTTTCTTTATGCAGTGAAGTTGGTTGGTGTGAAAGTCATGCAGGTGTACAATTAAACCGAGGATAATATAGTTGTAATTTCTGGAAAAAACAATAAATCTTTTTACCTCATTTGTACAGATAAGTTTTCATGCCTGTGCTGATAATTTTTTTAAATGTTTAACAGTGGATATCTGGTCGGTTGGATGCATCATGGCGGAGCTGCTTACAGGACGGACACTCTTCCCAGGCACAGACCGTATCCTTTCATGAATAAATCTCTGTTTGGTCATGATTTCTTTAATACTATTCATCTGGAGGACATTTTAGCTGTTTATGTAATTTAGTTTTACACCAATCTGAGTTCATATTAAAAACTTGGCTTGCTTAGGCTAAGCCAAAAGGGTTGCAAAGTGTTTGTAGGTTGCATGCTGGAAGAGTAAATTGATTCATGTGATGTCCTGATAGTAGTGATGGACCCGTTAGTGCATGGCTGACCATCTTCTGCCTCTCCACGACAGTGCCTTGTTCAGCTTCTCTTCCACAAGGATAACCACAAACAGCAGCTGAGCATTCAGATTATTTTTTATTAAAACATGCATGATCCTAATATGTCATTTTAGTGCAAACACAGTGAAATGTAGACGTTGGCACCTGCCAGTGGAGCAATGGTCCTGTGACAAACAAAAACATGGGGTTGGCAGGCGATTGTGTAATGTGTTTGTGATCCTGCTCTAAGTAACCAACTCATCCATGCTTTCTCTGCATGTCCTGTGTGTGGGTGTCGTTAGAGTTGGGATTTCTTACCACATGTGATTCACTCTTTTGAAGAGCAATCTTTCTGGTCTGCCTCCTCATAACCTCTCTGAATGAAATGTGAATATTTATCTGGGAAGTCTAAGAGGCCCAGGCGTTTGCCAGTTACAATGTTTGCAATTATTTGCGATTGTAGTAAACCGTTACTACAGATGTATTTGTTCATTACCAGCAGATCAAATTTAAATGAATATGTGGTGGATGTCCGGTTTCTAAAACATTAGTGCATCACCACATTAATGCCGTTTTCTGGATTCAATTCTCCCAGAGAGAGATTGCTTAGTGGGAGAAAATTTAAACAATAATTGGACATATAGATATTAGAGTTTTGTAGCTCATTTCCATTCTCCAATATTTTCTTTTGAATGTCTGACCTGTTTAAAGTACTTTTAGGCTAATTCAGTTTCTCCCCAGCAGCTCATGAGCTTACAAAAACAGCCTTAAGATGTATTTCTTGATTGATATATTTACATTCGAAGCTGCTGTGGCATGTGTAAGAATGGAGTGGTTGTCAAACAGGGTTGGTTCTACTATTTTTTTAATAACAGACAAAATGATGAGGACGTTTAAGATCTTATATTGGCTTGAATCTCTGTGTGAGTTCCCTGGAAAATGACAACCTTTACTTAACTGAGATTTCCGGAAAGAGGTCAACATCTCCACATGCAGTAAGTTCTATGGCGAGCATATTTTGAAAGCTGAAGAAAAAGTTCAAATGACTTAACTTTGCTGTACTTCATTTATCCTTCCTGCTATCCAAGGAACTTTTGCTTTCCCCTGCTCTTTTGCAGCCTGAATGAACCCCAGGCTTATTTAAAAAGAGAACAGTTTGCTTTTATGTGATGTGAATAAAATTAACTCTCCTCCAACTTACTTTTATACACATCACTCATACTGAAAATGGCTGAGATGGAGGCTCCATAATGGTCATCTCCTGATTTTTCTGTGAACCTCTAACAATGAATTCAATTTTAAGCTTGACGACAACCTCGGAGTGGAATAACACTGCACGGCATGATATTTTACACTTTGTTGAAGTAAGCATAACTCTTTTTTCACATTATAATGAAATAGTTTGCAAAGTCTTATCAAGAGGATCTTTTAGACAAACTTCAATTCAAACTGAAGAATTGCACAACAAAGTGTTTGAGCAGGACTTTTCAAATCTAGTCCTTTGGCCACTGCTTTGAGCATTTATTTGTGTTTTTGTTTTAATACATAAAAAACCATTCCATTAACAAGTTCAAAGATAGAAAATAAATAATTTAATCCTTGGTGTGTTATCAAGACATGAATGGGAAAAGCAGAAAGAGCGGTAGATGAGAATGAATGATTTCCAGACATGTTAGGGAACAGCAGTAGGGATCATTCTTTTAGATCAATATTTATGAGACAAAAGACAGTGAATTATTTTTCTGAAAATGAGAGAAACAGCAGCTTTTGTCCATGAAGATCAACAAAACACCAATCAATTTGCAGGAGATGAAGAAAAGGCTTTTCTGTGTCAGACAAAATGCTTTTAACATCTATCAAACAAATTTAGCGCTCAAACGTGACAATGTTTACAGAGCACATTTATGCAAACAAGTAATGCATAATGTTTTCATTTTCTGCTCTCAATCGTAATAGAAATCTTACTGCTCAGAGGGGCTCAAATGCTGCAGAAACTCCCATTCAGTCTCGCTGCGTTTGTAGCGTGGCATTTATTGCTCTAAATCTCAGCTGAAATTACTTTGGATTATTTCTTCTTTTTTTTTTGCATGTTTTATCGCTCATTTTTCCTTTTTTATTTATCAGTGTCGTCCATCCATTCCTTTGTTTTTTTTTTTTTTCCTTCATGTGAGTTTCATAGACATTGATCAGTTGAAGCTTATAATGATGCTCGTCGGAACCCCAGGGCCCGAGCTCTTGATGAAAATCTCTTCAGATTCTGTGAGTGCTAAGTACCATCCCGCCCAGTTTGTCCGTTGCCTGTCTGTGCGTTCATTGCCTCTGTTTTGTTCCGGTTATACTTAGCCCACTTCCTTGTGTTTACACTAAACCATCTTCTGTCCAGCTTTGTGTTGGACTTCAGTTTGACTTGCTTTCTCTTTGCTTTCCATGTTTGTCAAGCATTCTTTGAGCCCTGCCAAGCTCTAAAGGATTTATAAATCTTCTTATATTATGACAGTCAAAACATTTCTTGATTGTCGCAGCTTTTGTCTGACACTTTCCCTTCCACTCTTCTATATCTGCCTCTTTCCATTTAATTTCAAACTCCACTAACCCCCCCCATGCTTGATGACTCGCTATGATTCCCCTTGACTCCATGGCTTTAGATATAAACCAGCTGCAGCAGATAATGCGTCTGACGGGGACTCCCCCAGCCTCTCTCATAAGCAGGATGCCCAGCCATGAGGTGAGACCCCCTTTCCCTTCCCCAGGTGGCCTCCTTCTTCAGCCAGAGTCGGAGGGCGGGGGCGAGCAGTCAGCTGTCAGCTCGATGTTTGTTTGCAAACAAATAGCGGCAGACTTCCCTTCCCCACCAACAGGCTCACCACCACTCTATGCTGTCGCTCCACTTCTTCCCTGTTTCCTTTCTGACTCACCATGCCTGTCACTGCGATGCTTTTCAGAGTGCTGTCGTGGTGCAGCTCCTGTTGCACTGGTGATTAGTTTTCAGTAGAAAATTTTGTGCAGCGATTTTTTTTAAATTCCCCCCCCCCCCCCGGAGAGTTGTACTAACTTAAGTGTGTGGAGTGGAGACGTTTGGACCCGTCTCGCTGCACCAAGATGGGTTGCTGTGCCAATATTTCTTGATTGTGACAATGAAAGGTGGGATTATTTTGTTTTTTTTAAACAATTTATCTTATTTTGCTTATCTCTTTTACAGGCAAGGAACTACATTAACTCGCTTCCTCACATGCCCAAGAGGAACTTTGCTGATGTGTTCCTTGGCGCCAACCCTCTTGGTAAGTTCCTCTTTCGGTGTTGGTCTGTGGTTTTTACCACTTCTGGCTCACTGCTTCCCCCTAGTGGCATTATCAAGTATTATTTTAAAAGTTGCCATAAATCTTCACAGTGGTATAAATCAGTCTAAATGTCTTTCTGCAGTTAAAATAAACTTTCTGCAGTTAAAATAAACTGAAAATTATTATGATGAAGCAGTTTAGCATTGAATAAGCTGAGTTATTATGTATAGTGTTTTAGCTATGTGAGTTTTTGAGTGTATTTCATTGAAATATGGCTGGAATGGTCATCTCGGGTTGAACAGATAATTTTCAAGGCAGATATAAATTTTCACTTATTTCTGCTTTTTCATTCATAGTTTAATTTTAAACGTTCCATTAATTTTTCATATGTATCACTGAGTGAATGAAATACAAGATAAAATGAAAAATGTTACCTTTTGCATTGGAATAAATTGATGATATGAAAGTGCTAATAAAGACTGTGAGCAGGGGGTTAAAAGTTTATTGAGATGAAATTTAGGCACATCAAGATATTATAGATAAAGGAAAAAGGTAAACTTCTGCAGATGGATTAGAAATAGAAGCTACTCAAGTTTGCTTATATTTTGTAATGCTTTCCTCTGTTGTTTAAAATATGTCTCAGTGAAACCAGAAATCTATTTTGCTGGGATTTTATGTGATAGTCCAACACATAATTCTGAAGTTGGAGGGGAAAAAAAAGACATTAAAATGTATTTTACCAAGTTCTAAGTGATACAGGCTGTAATTTTGTGAGTTGTACATATAAATAGGTTTATGTTCAGCTTGCATGCATCCCTTCTATAATTCAAAATGGCATCTCCAGATGTTAAGTGTCTGAAATTTAATTTTGTATTTATTTTAATGTACCTCGTATTGTAAAACCACATATGAATAGAATGTCTAAACATGTCAGTGTTCCTCAGTGCAAACCTTACATAACCCTTGTGCAACAACCATTGTGCTTCAGCTGTAGACTTGCTGGAGAAAATGCTGGTGCTGGACACAGACAAGCGGATCACTGCGTCGGAGGCGCTGGCGCACCAATACTTCTCTCAGTATCATGATCCAGACGACGAGCCCGAAGCGGAGCCCTACGACCAAAGCTTTGAAAGCCGTGACCTGGAAATAGAGGAGTGGAAGAGTAAGTTTGGACGAGATGGGAACCTGGGCTGGGGTAAGAAATTCGTACTAATTGTTTTGTTTTCCCTCCCTCAGGCCTAACCTATGACGAGGTAGTCAGCTTTGAGCCGCCACCTTTAGACGATGAGATGGAATCCTGAGTGGGGAAACGCCTTTTCTTCCTTTTTATTTAGGTCTTTTATTATTATTTTTTTTATTTCAAAGGAACACTCTTAAAACTATCAATCACATGTGACCATCTGTTTGTTTCCTGCTCACATGCACAACCATGACATTCAAGTGCCTGCCATCATTTATATCTTGGGGACGTTGTGATAATCTGTTCATAACGCCCCCTAATTTGAACCCTCTTCTGAGGCCAACTTTAACTTTTTTTTTTGTTTCTTAGTTTTTTGTTTTTTTTTGCTTCCAACATTTAATTATTAGTTTTCAAGTTTTAATTACCCCTCCTGGAAAACAGTATACATGCCAGTATCTGAAAACAATTTCAGGAGATGTATTCGAAGATTCACATTTATACAGTTTTACTACTTAGCAGTTAGCACAGCAGGGGCAAATTTTATTAGTATTTCTCTCCTTCAAATATTAGACAAAATGTTATTTCTGTGTAGATATTGCAACAAACAGTATTTGTACATAAGTATTTTAGGCAAAAATAATTATCATATTAGAATATTCATTGACACTTGAACCAGTCTCTTCAACAGTATGGATTTGATTACCAGAGTTCATCCTAAAATGGCCTAAATTGATATTGTATGTAATTTATACTATGTATGTACAGAATATGTGGGGAAATGTATGAGATTAACTCATTATGATAAAAAAAAAAATCTAGGCTTTATATTTCTTCTTGGTTTTGTAGACTTTGTCATTTTTTCAAGAAATTATCACTTATGGAAGAATTGCATATTCATCAAATACATCAACTTGATGTATTTGTTTTCTCTGCATCAATTCATAAAAATTATTTTGCTCCAAAATGAATGTTTTAGCAGTCAGAAAACTCCACTATTATTGCAGCATGATGAAGACAGGGTTGGCTTCGTAATTTATTCAGATATGATGTTTCCTGCGAGAACATTAGCTGTCGATGTAATTTAATCATATTGCATTTTATAAACCATATTGCATTTATTGTGTGTGTTGAATGTTTTTGGGCACCAGTTTGCTCTGTATTTATGATCCTTTTTGTTATGTTGTTTGTATATCAAAATGTAAAAGAGAATGTTATTTGTCAGATTTCAGGGTTGTTTTTATTATTTATGGAGAGCCTCTTGTTTCAGAATCCAAAAGCATCATTAAATATCTGATTTTCCCCTCATTGGCCTCAGGGACTGCAGTTACAGCTTGTGTATCGAAGCAGACAGAGAGAGAGCCATATTGTCTAAAATATGTTAATGTTAATTGGCTGAAAACTGAGTTCTTAGCATCCTGCCGGTATGATAGTCATGTTTACAAAAATGAAGATGGTAGACCTATTCAGAAATGTAGAGCCTTAAAAATGTTCTTTACTTGATGGACCAACACATAGCATTGGATAATTCAGAGGCACAAACAAATTGGGGTTTTTTTTCTGCACAAATAAAAATGTGACAGAGCTTTGCAGAATTGTTTTTTACTTTAATTACAGCTGGAAATACTTTATTTCATCAGGCTTTGTCCATCTAGAGACAAAACAATTTTGGATGCAAACCATCTGTGAACATTGACTTTTTTTTTCCAGTCTTGCCACTGTTTCTTAATTGGAATTAGGTCTGGCCTTTCACTGGGCCATTCATCCACATAAATATGGTTTGTGGCCACACAAGCAGTTCTACTTTAGTCTGATTATACTAGAGAATGTTCTTTCACATTTGTGTTCATTTATGACATGTGGGCCTCTTCACAATTCAATGCTTTTGTTGGTCTATCACATGAGATCTAGCTGAAATGCACTATAGGTTATTGTTGTAACATGGGAAATTATATATATATATATATATATATATATATATATATATATATATATATATATATATATATATATATATATATATATATATATATATATATTGTTCCAGGGGTATGAATAGCTTGGAAAGTCACTGTTTACAGCATCCGTCAGACCACTAAAGTGAAGATTTCACTTTCAAAAGCTGGAAAATATTTTCCAGTCAAACCACATTTCTAGTTGTACCACAGTTGCTCTGGCTAAGTCACCCAAATGACGCTGCATATCTTTTTTATATATATGTATATCTCTTTCCAGTCAGTTCATGTTTTTTTTTTTTATTAATTACTTTACCGCATGTTCAATAAAGAAATTGATGTCAGTGATTTATATAGGGCTGATTTTATTACTTTTTTAAAAAGATATTAGGAAGATCACAAGAACCGAAATGTTCATGTAGTAGAATATCCAGCACATGAGTGGATGTTTAGTCACTGGATGCTGAAGGGTGATGCCCATTTCTGTCATTTTTACACATTTACATCAATCAGATTAAGATGTTTCTTCTCCAAGTCCCAATGTCATAAGTTAAACCTGGTTTGCTTGCTTTCCCTGAGATATGTTCATGTATTTTCCTGAGTTCTTCACCTAATGTACCAAGACAGCAAGGCCATGCTTTGTGTAAATATACAACCATCAGCAAATAAAGGCTACTATTTTTCAAAGCTGTTAACAGCGTGCGTTATATTGAGTTGAGGTTTGGTGGCGTAATCTCTTATACAGAGAATTCAGTCATTTTATTTTTCTCCACACCACGTACTTTATAATACATGTCATTAACTGAACAAAGGGACGTTTTTTACATTTAATTTGCATTGTGGCTGAGCACCTTTAAAGGTATTAGATACTAAATGGGTCCGTTTTGGATTCCTCTGCGGTTTGGGCTGACTGATCGCAGCTTCTTTAACATTGCACTCAACTTCTTGGTCTGGCAATTAGAGAAGAATCCTATTTTTAGACATCAATTTCACGCTAGACAAATTGAAATTATAAAATTAACTGTGTGCAAGTGCTATAATATTAATCATTTAATCTGTTTGAGCACAGATAGTCTGCCGTTCCTACTTCCACAAATTGATGCAAAATGAAATTATTTGTAGGTAGTAGATTGATCACTACTGTAGTCTTGGTTTATTTAAAGCAATTAGGTGATTCTGTACATTGAAATGAGTCTGCTGTTTTCCTCAAGCGTTGGAGGAGACCGTGAGGAAATGCTCTGATAGTTTGATAGAAAATAAACTACATTTTTGGTCATTGTTAATCGAAAACGTATGTGACACTCTGCTCCCTTTTATTTTGGTTCTGAGTTCTTTTTTGTAATTTATTTATTTTTTTATTGGCAAAGCAACGTGGGTTCTGAGTTTTGTTTGGGCCTGTTGATGTGAGGCAGATGTGACCACCAATCAAATGTTATTTCACTGGTGACGTTCCAATGGCTCGTTCCATGAGGCGAACTGCCCCCCGAAAATGTCGGGGGGGAAACCAGAGGGACAAAAATTCATATAAAGCTACATTTCAAAAATGTTAAGATTATCCAAAACAATTCACATAGGTAAACGACTCAAGCAAATTACAGTTTCCGAACACAGCGCCCACAGCTCACGCCTCCTTTAAGGTAGAGTCCCGCATTTCCAACAGCCACTGAACGCAGCACTTCACTGGTTGTCCAGCATGGAAAGAAAAGGTAACGTTGCTAACTAAACCAAAATGATTTTTACTTGTTGAACCTGTTACTCAACACACATTAGCATTAGACGCTTACCGCTGATTAGTTACTGCTTAAATAGATTTAGCAGATGTCAAACAAACTACATAACTACCGGCGTAGAGTAAAAGTGTAACCATGCGCTCTGCTGTGTGTTTTCTGTGGTAGCATTATGTTAGCTTTAGCTTCACATGATTATGCAGTTTGTCCCAGTGCATTTTGTTATCGCTGTCTGTGAGAAAACACAAGTTATATTGTGACAAATGCTTAAAAATAATAAATAGGGTCTTTGTGGCGATTAGTGTTTTCACAGCGAAACGTTCGAAGTTGCTGTTAGCTAAATTAACAATACCCACAATGCATCGCTAAGCCAAGGAACCTGCTAACTACATAGTTTCTCATTTGCCGTCATTGTGAATTTTGATACACCTCAGAAAAGTAGCTAATCTTTATTCTTTTGTTTGTTTTTTGTTTTTAAACTGAGATCTGGGGTAACGGCTCGGAAAAAAACGCGGACTCGTGTTATCTCCGTCACACAAACATAACAGCGTGTTTTTGTCTCAGATCTGTTTTCTTGAATGCTTCTTCTTTTTTTTTTTAAAGTTCTCGCGATCCAAGCGAGGAAGAAGAGGACGAAGCCGAGGAAACCTGTCAAAAAGTAACCAGAAAACTTCCTTTTTTGTTTTCAAATCTATTTACACATAATGGGTTTCTTTACTCTGTTCCAAGAGGCAGAGCAGGAAGTTTAGAAAGCGATTCGTGATCACAGCAGACAGGGAAACTCATGTGCGCCAAAAAAATTTGAATATTTTCCAAAAGTGACCCAAATAATCAGTTTATAAAAAGAAACTGCTGTAGATTCATTGCACATACTGTGATATTCTTCAGCAGCGTCTTTCTGTCTGCTTTAATGAGTATGACTCTAATGAATGTAACACTGAATGTTAAATTCTGAAAAATAAAATGAGCATCAACACAGAGGGAGCAGACACTCTGAGTCCCTGTAAAATGGCTTTGTTGACTTTAAGCTTGACTAAAACGCAATGGACTAACACCGATAGATGACATGGCTTCCTACATTATTACTGAAATATCACACCAGACCTCAAACAACTCGGTTGTGGTCTTCTTCCAGATTCTTCAGACTTTGATTTTCCACATGAAATTAAACATTTATTTTAATCTGCACAGAACATTTGGACAACTACACAGCAGTCCAGTGTTTTTCTTTCTCATTAGCCCAGTTAAGGCATCTCTGATGTCTTTAGTTCAGGTGTGGCATAATACGAGGAACAGAACAATGGTAGTTCAGAAGACATTTATGTGTATGTGTGAGAGTGATGGCTTTTAAAATAGACTCTCCCACAAACTCTTGAATGAACTTTGCTTCCTCTCAAAGCTGTTGTTTGTCTTGTCCACTTGTTTTAGCCATACTTTTTCCTTCCACTCAACTTTCCATTTATATCTTTGCATTTAGCCAAACAACTAATTACACCTCATTGTTGAGGGCTTTGAGAGTGTTTGCTGGACCAATTCAGGAGCCTCTTTATGATTGTAGTTTATAGCATAAAAAGTCTGCATCAAAATATTTTTATTGGGTTTTTTGTAATGTCCAAGATGAGGAATTTTAACAATATTCATAAAAATTTTATGGAATGTGTATAATATAGGTGACTTACTTTTCAATTGCATTTAGATTTATTGAAATACGCTGGTACTTGTTGTGCTCCAGGTTAGCTGTTTTTTTGATTATGTTTGGTAACATAGGAGAGTAGATCTAAAGGGGACATAAATATGTATATAGAGAGTACATAGCATGCAGTTATAACAAAGCGTTCAGTTTATTGTTTCATTTTAAAATGCCGCCTCATGTTGTAGGAAACTGTCCAACAACATGCAGTTTTAGAGCTTGTGGAGCGAAAACATCCCATAGCATCCTGCTCTGCTTCTGGACTCAGAATTTTCTCAAACAATATTTCAACATGGGTGTGCTGTGGTGTCGCAGGGGTTAAGCATAACCCACATATGGAGGCCTTAGTTCAATTCCTGGCCTGGTAACCTTTGTCTTCCCTTTCTCTCATTACCTGCTTTCCTGTCAATTAACTATCAAATGAAGGCCACGAGAGCTCATAAAATCTTTAAAAATATATAATAATAAAAACATATTGCAACAGTATTGACTCTCACCACACTACTAACATGTGAAACAGCGATGGGATTGCATTTTTAATTGAAAAGATTTTTTCTGTTATGAATAGCTGGAAGCAGACTAGTCTTATTCAGCCTTGCTCTAAGACTTCTCCTGCTCCCTGCTCATTCCCTCCCACTCGCTCTTTTTGTGCCTTCTGTGGCGAAAGGGACTCAGCAGCAGCCACAGTGCATTCAAAGAGCAGCGGGTGAATAGTGCAGACCTCATCGCAACTCAGGCTGGACATATTTCCTAGTTTTTGGCCTTTCCGGTCAGTGTTGTGTCTTCTCTGTCATGTGGCTCCTGGACTGGATCTTCTCCATCAATACAGCTGTGGTGAAACTTGCCAGTGGGCTGACATGGAAGTGAGTAGCTTTTATGCATGCATTTGGAGGAGAAACCAGTCGAAGAAGTTAAAAATTTCAACTTGTTTTCATGGTTTACGCTGAGCCTGACAGGACTCTAGGATGATGTATCTTTTTCATTCAGGAGCTTTGACAGACGGCTGCAGCCTCACCGATCACCTCATTACCGGCTTATGTATTCTACTTGGTGAGAAAGAACAGGACTGATTGTCTCTCTTGTGGATTTTTGAATCCAGCTTTTCAAAGAGCATATCTGATTTTTGTACTTAATTTTTTTTTTCACATTCGTGACAAATACCTGTTTCTTTAACTTCCCTGCTTCAAATTTTTATCAATGCAGTTTTAGCTCAGTCGGAGACGGAAGAGTACGCCAAGTTTCTACCAGTGCTTTGCTCCGTGTTATGTTTAGCTTTCATGTCTGCCGCTTCTCTCCCAGCACTAGCTGTGTTTTTTTTAATTACATAACCCGTCAACTCTTTTCTCATCTGCAGCCCTCTGCAGCACCAGGACTGTACACTGCAGGTTTTGCAGCAACTCTTTCTTCCCTGCTTGCGGGAGAAATATTAATATGTTTGCACTGATTTTTATTATTATTATTTTAAGGAGTTGAGGGATAAATTCAGGCACTAAACACTGGTTTGTGTTTAACAAAGGGCTGTTGTTTTTATGAACTAAGAAAACCCTCAGCAGAGTTGGGCATCTCTGTTT